TCTGTTTATAAACTATTTAACTCACGGTGAACACAATCGCTGTGCAAATCTAACAAGACTATGAGAAAATAATCAATATATGAAGTAATCTTCGTTTTCTTTTTATGAAAGTGAATGAGTGAACTTTTAATACTTTTTTTCTGTTAGGATATTCATCTAATATCCTACAAGAGTTATTGGTCAAATCCTATTGGTCGGTTTCTATTGGTCAAAATTATGGTCGTCTTAGCTGTCAAAGTCAAATGCTTCAGCGTTGGCTGTTATTGGTCATCCGAACTGTCAATGTCATTCCAAATGTTCTTAACTGTCAATGTCACAGACCTCGGTGATGTTTCCTATTCGACCAAAATGTATAAATACGCACTATCTGTATGACTCCATGATTCCGATTCCGTTACTTCCTGCCTACCTCTCTTCTGTACTCGTCCCAATAAACAACTCCATCCAACGACGTTGCGTTCTGATATATAGAAGATTTGGAAATAGTATTTGGGTCGCACTGGGATATTTGAATTTGGACGCAGCTAGGACTGAATAGCTATACGTAGCAGCATTATAACATTTTCAAATCAGAATGTTGGCTTTTAAAAATAACTAGCCTAATCATTGATAATAATAATATTGATAATGGTAATCAATATGATAATTCCGTTTCTTAGTTAACAACTTACATATATCAAGCATCACTACTGAATGTTTATTGTAAACATACCTTTGTTACTGTTTCTGGTTATATTTACCTAATTATATATATATATATATATATTCTTCATCACCATAAAGTGACAGCTATTGGGAAATTTCTATTTTGTGAACTTTCGTTGGAAGTCCCATTACATCTGCAACTTCATGTTTAATTTACTTGACCACCTTCCTACTAAGGCTGTTATTGAAGCTTGAATAATTTTGGAGCGATACATTCGGTTCTATGTCTGTTTAATAACTAGTAATATTTCTTCATTAACAACAAAATCCATTAGTCTATATGCTTTCGATTACTGCGGATAAGTTTCCACTAATAATAAGAGTTCAATTATATCTCAATAAGTAATTGTTACAGGTTGCATGTACCATAAACTAACGTTATTTCATTAGGATAAATTTTTTATAACTCTTTTCATTATATTGATTCGTTACTCATTGATTTAAGGTAATTCCAAACAGCAAAATAAACTTAGATAATATTTTAGTCAAATGATTCCCAGATGCACACATATTTACATGTAATGTTTAGTTGAAACGACAAATACATTTTACTGTAACCTAATGAGAAATTGAAACTTTGTGGTGAGGTTGTAGCATCCCACAATTCATTCATTCTATTTCAATGATTAGTCGTTTAAATTATTCGATAAATGTATCGACTATTGTTTATTTGATTGTGTAAGTGCATGCTTAACTCGCTTATTTTACACGTCCAGCCTAATATTGCTTGACCATAATTGCTTCAGCGCATAAGAGTTGGCTCACTCGCTTTCTCCAATTCGCTTCACCTTGCTTGTACGCTTTCCATTCTCATGTCTGTCTGCATAGATAAATGCATAAAATAAATTAATCCGCAACACTGTATTTGGCTTCTCACTATCGCCGTCGCACGAACGGGGTTTGCCTTAGTCTGACACACAGAAATGGACATGAAGATGTATTTCATTGCACACCCGATCATTCGTTCACACTGGAGTCCAGTGATGAATCACCAAAGGGTTGATCGAACATAAAACCAAGAAATCCTGTTGGTTATTATCTCTACAATGATGAGTAAACGTGAAAGCATGAACCTCGAGTTATTGATTGGTACTATTTGTATGATGGTAAACTCTGTCGATTTTGTGCTGTTTTCATTAAATGAAACAAATTATGAACTTTCAGTGAGTATATTCAGTTCCTTGCTTAGCCATGTAACAACCTTCATAGGGCCCATTATACTGAAATATGCACCTGGAATGACTTAACCCAAAAGCCGAATTTTTAATTGGATCAGCACTATACAGCAAGTTGTAAAGAAGAAACCTGGCGCATGTTTGCAGTGTTTTGTCTGCATTGATTCTTACAAGTTTAATCGCTAGAAGTAACCGTATTTCCCTAGAAAACGATTATGAATTATGGATATTTCTTATTCACTGATGTCAGGTACAGAATGTTGATATAATTTTAAATTACTCATGCTGATATTCATAAATGAAGAATATTAAATATTCCCATTGTGAAAATTAGAACTACACATATAAGCGAACACTATTGTTTTCGATTAGATCGTCATCAGGCTTTACTCTAATATACATGAATATTCATATGAAAATGTTAAACCAATCAAGGCAGTTTGAGTGATAATCACAATGAAATGAAAAAGATTACGTAACTACATATAATAGGCAAAAGTTCAAGTGGATAATAGGAAGACATGTGTACTGATAGTAGTAAGAAAATTATAAAATATGATAACTAAAGTTTTATCTATAGTAGGTCAAAGATGGATGAATAAACATTAAAAACATCAAAACCATTACGTAATAAGCAAATATGTAAAAATAAAGATAAAATAAAATAAGATATATATATATAAGATAGGGATGTCGCGAACTTCTGAACACATAAATTGGGGTTGAATGTAAGAATTCCTATGGCTTCTGCTATATGTAGGAGACGGGATCGAACTCCGTTGGGAAATGATTGAGGTATACGATAGATCAATCGAAAAGATCTAGACTTATCTACAATATGACAACTATCAACCAGGTGTGCTAAGATCGAACTGCGTATTATTTTTGACTGACCCTTTTCAAACCATGCTGAGAGATGTTCACTCATTCGTTGGTTAAGTTGCCTGGTAGTACGCCCGATATAGCTATCTCCATAGGAGCAGCTGAATTTGTAAATGCACATAGAGGAGGCCAACTCAGGTAACTTACCCTTCGTTTGAGTAGACATCACTGGTCGACTTGAGAAGGTCAACGCAAGTTTGGTTGCATTGAATGTTCTACTAATCGCTCTCATTAATTTGTCCTACAGTGTCGCAGGCCACATCTCCGTTGAATTGTAATTTGATAAATAGTGGCTTCTTTCGGACGGTCAAAATTACTGACTTCTTATTTACACCAACCATATACTTCCTTATGAATGCGCTAGGGTAGCCGATCACGGCCAGTGAGTTGTTGATAAATTGCAGCTCCTGACTTAAAGTATCCATAGAACAGATCATTTTAGCTCTGCTAGTGAGACATCTAACCAAATTTCATATAATTTTCTTACTACTATCAGTACACATGTCTTCCTACTATCCACTTGAACTTTTGCCTACTATATGTAGTTACGTAATCTTTTTCATTTCATTGTGATTATCACTCAAACTGCCTTGATTGGTTTAACATTTTCATACAAATATTCATGTATATTAGAGTAAAGCCTGATGACAATCTGATGGAAAACAATATTGTTCGCTTATGTGTTGTTCTAAATGAAGAATAATCACCTCATTATTGGCGAATTCAGCATTAAAAAGTGTTTTAATACTGTATTTTCAACTTAAATGTCTTCTATAGTTTACAGATCAGGTCAATAACGAAATATGTTTATCTGGGACAAAGAACTGTAGGCAGTACGACAATCGGTATATTTAAAAACAATAGTCCGTAGAACACTACTTCTGATTTCCACATTGTGATAAAATTACGCTATGACAGTATTTGTATACTCGATGATACAATACAATTACCGTTTCAGTTGTATTCAGCTACACAATGCTTCTAATAACACCCATGTCGACTACTATAGTAGGTTTAATTCTATTTTGATTTATTGGTGCATCTAAAAGCATGAACGAAACAGATATTATTTTATTTGTTGCTAATCTTCGTCTAGATATATCAATGGGAGATAAGTATGTTATCAAGTGTAAGGTAGTAGTTGGAGGTAACTTAATTCTTAGAACTTGATCGGCATTAAGGACCCGACATACATGATATCAGTCACAACTTAGTGACCAATCAATAGTAAATGTTTTGAAGTATCAATTTAACTGATTTGTTATATGCATTTGCTATTAATACTATGCACTGCAGTTGATCAATCCTATGAAGATTACCTCGATATTGTCATTATGACACAAGTTTATATAAAATAGATGGAATGTAGCTAACAGCAGAATCCAGGACTCTCACGGATATATGAACTCAGAAGCTAAATAGATAACATATTTGGTCATTGAAGGAACGCAACCACTTTGAGTATTTATTCGCTTTCACGGTAACTGTCTTTCCACGCAAAGCACCACTATTAACCTCGATAAATGTGGTAATAATGGCATACGCTTCGATAGAAATACTGCTGAATAATGCACGATATTACGGTACAAAATAGAAAACTAGAATCATGTTTGTTTGATTGGCAGCTCTAGGGTCTCAAAGTTACCTCTAAGTAATGTACCCTCAAATGAAAACAATATTCTGTACGGTATTCAACTTAATTTCTAATTCTATATTTCATTATCTAAATGTTTTTGATTAGCTTGATTGATGTTTTATAAAATCCTCCGTTACTACTCACCTTGTTGGTATGTTTTCTATGTAGTGATGGAAAGATAATATCGTGGACTGAGTCATGTCGGTAGGTGTCGACTACCTGCCTGAGGTCAGCTGGATGATAGTAATCGATGGTTAGAGACCCTGAATGTCATGGCTCAAAACCGTTTGCAATGACGCAGGTGCATTCATTCTTTGTTCTCTCAAATCCTAACCTTCTGAATTCCTCATCACTATCTTTTCATTTTCAAGTTTATTTCACTAGATTCTTGAATAATATCTTCGAAACTTAATCTCTCCAGTTACTGCTAATACCTTTACTACCTCTACTTCTATGGGATTTGAATTGACAATTGCATCTCTGTGTTAATGTGGTATGGCAACTTGAACTGATGTACGTACGTACGAAGTTCTTCGTTGCTGTTGACTGACTGATTGAAAATCATAAGAAATCTTAAAATGATTTACAAACTAAAGTATATTTAGTCTTTATAAAGTCATGTCATAATGCTTCGTTGAGAATTAAAATGATGAAGGCTTTACAATAAAGATATTTTTGTTCCTCACTTACAATGAATGAAATAATTACGTAAGAAATAAAAGTAATAGAAAATATAAAAATTTTATTTCAAAAATATGTTTTTGGTCGATTTGAGCATACAGAAAAAAAAGAAGTAAAACTAGTCCCTGACAAGTATATCCCTCATTCGTCTTCATATACACACATTTTCATCGCTTACGCTTTGGAGTTGGTGAACGTGAGACTGAGTGTAGCCCTGACCTGCTAGAATAACAAAGACAATCAACTAGTGAAATTATAGATTTCCACACAAAACAACATTAAAATATTACTGTTTCTAGAAAAAAAAAAATCAGGAAACTTTTTACGAAAAACAGGATATGTTACGAGGCCCATATAAAATACAATCAATCAATTAGGATGCAGCTTTTGAAAAACAACCTTTACTATGTATTGATTAGCTTGTGGTTCTGATTCTTAAATATATAAATGAATACTAAATATATTATCAATAAAAGTAGGAATGTCATTGGTACTGAAAGGAACATGATTTTGTGGATATTTTATTCCACTTGAAGGTGATTTTTATCACAGACTGGTTTTAACTAATCCATTTGGCTTTCAGTGACACATCTTTGGTTTTGGGAACTGATGTTTTTGCTTGATTGTTTTTATTATGATAAGTGACTTGATTATTGAATGATTAACTTATTTATCACTAAATCATTGATTTGATGACGGGTACTGAGAAATAGATTAGCGTTCTCCCGTCGTGCATATTGACGACCCAACTATTTGCTTAGCCAAACTTAATTAGTGGCGTAAATTATCCGCAAATAAACATATACTTCTTTATATGGGTACGATACTGAACTCAATGTGCATCATTTGTTTCCGTCAATTTATAAATACGTACTGTGACACTACTATCACCAGTGTATCTGCAAGAACGAAGTAGTTACCGATTCACCTCTATTCTTTGTGAACCAAATATATTAGATCAATATATAATCTGTGATGTATGCATAGTGAATAATGCGCTGTTACAATTAAAGGTTTATCAATCATTTGCGAAGTAAATACTACTCATATAAACCAAGCACAGTTTAGACTTACGCATTAGGTTGAAAGATCTTGTCGGGAGAATGATTTGTGGAAGTGCAAGTTGAGCAACATGAAGACGAACGTGAGGAAGATGAGGATGAGCAAGATGATGATGAAGAAGAAGGAACATCTGGAAAGTGTTTGGAAAGATTCATATTGTCTGCAATCTTCGCCAAATCAGGTCGATTAGTTCTGAGCGCAGCTAACCATCTTTTAGCAAATTTTGGTCTTTTCCGTGCGGTTTTGTGCCACACAATAGGAAAGTTAGAAGAGCTAAAATTGTCAGAAAAGAAAAAAACTGAGTGGCCGTTGACACGAAATTCCAACAAAAAACGTCGTAATAACATATTCCACAACCACGGAACACTGTTGTTAAAGTACAAGTAATTTAAAAAGCGACCTATAATGTCTTTTACAGCTCCAAGTGTCGTAACATAGCAATTAAAGCGAATAAGAGAAAAACAATGAGTTCTTTATCATATTAGTCAAGATTTACACTACAAAAAGGTGAGTCGTTACCAGTCATCACAACATGTGGTCTTGAAGTGCATCATATAGCTCTGAGTGATGTAAAGTATAGAAAATCGTCATAACAACTATCGACTACGCATCATCTAAAATTGTTGAAGAGTATCATAGCTAACCTATAACGAACTTAACAAATTCAAAATGCCTCTGAGTAAAAAATTCAAAGACTAACAGGATCTACCCAAAGAAGAAGAAACTAACGTGGAGAAAAACTGGAAAGGTAATAAAGAGGTAATAACATCAACGTTTCAGAAGAAGCTAGATCATAAGAAGCACTATTATATAGAATGGATCTTTGTTGATGCACTAGACAAGATTCAAGAAGGAAATAACAGGAAGACAGAAGCCAAGAACAGTTGAGCAAAAACAGAGAAAGTCAAGGCGTAGGCTGAATGCATCAAAACAAACAAGGAAGTGAAGAAAAGCATCAGAGCTGATCAGCAATGATAACAGAAAAAGCTGTACGATACAACAATGGATCTCACTGAAAAATATAATGAACTAGAACGACCAGTCAAGGACAAGGAAAGCGAACCAGTCACCGATATCCAAGAACAGCGAAACAGGTGGGTAGAGAGCTTTTGAAGAACTCTTGAATCGATCAGCCCCACTGAAACCAACCAACATTAGAGAAGCACTTACAGACGTTCCAAATGATGGCAATCCACCAACAATGGGAGAAATATGCCTGGTTATCAGATAAGTCAAGAGCGGGAAAGCAACCGGACCAGATAACATTCCGGCTGAGGCACTACAATCAAACATAGAACTGCGAAAATTCTTACAAAGATTTGAGAGAAAGAACAAGTACCAACAAACTGGGAACAACTATACCTCATCGAGATACCAAAGAAAGATCTCAGCAAGTGTGAGGACTACATTGTAATTAAATTGCTATGACTACCAGAAAAAGTTTTTAACTGGGTGTTGCTGAACCGAACGAAACATTCAGTAGACGCTCGACTTCGAAACCAACGGGCTGTTTTCCGTAAGAATCAGCAATCCATCGACGAAACCGCGACACTATGGATCATTGTGGAACAGTCGACTGAATGGAATTCACCACTGTATATCAACTTTATTGACAGTGTGACAACAGGAAGACTTCCTCGATACTACGGTGTACCTGAGAAGATAGTGAACATAATACGGAATTTTTACTATTGAGTACAGTGCAAAAGCGTGCACGGACGACAGATTCATCCCTAATGCAAACAGATGTCAGACAAAGTTGCTTACTTCCACCGTTTCTCTTTCTTCTGGTGGTTGACAGGATTATGAAAACCTCAACATCTCACAAGAAAGCAAGGGGTACAGTGGATAGCTCTTGTGCGTCTGGATGACTTAAACTTCGTCGATGATCTAGCTCTTCTACATCACACACAGCAACAAATGCAAGAGAAGGCGACTTATGTAGAAGTAGCCGTTGAAGCAGTAGACCTCAACACATAAGGGAAAAAGTAAGACCCTCCGATACAACACAACATGCACCAATCATATCGCATTTGATGAAGAAGCTCTGGAAGATGTGGATACTTCTAAATACATGGTCAGTGTAAATGAAAATCAAAAGCGATATGATGCATATAATAGATAGTCAGTCAGCTATAACGTGGAAATCCGTACGTAGGTACATCAGTTTAAGTTGCCATGCCACATTAACGTGGAGAGATGGAATGCATATGTGAAGACACGGACTAGTTGAGCATGAGTGCCACTCTTACAGTTGAAGGGCATCTGAAACTCAGAATAATCTTAGGCCAACACCGGAATTAGAATATTTAACACCAATATTAGGACGACTCGATTATACGGAGCTGGAACTCGGAGAACTACAACAAATATCATTCAGAAGATATAAGTTTTATAAACAGTTGTCTGAACAAGATAATCAAATCCACTGACTGGACACTATAAGTAACAATCTACTGTGGGAGAAAACAAACCGGACTCCAGCTGAGGAAGAAATCTGGAAAAATAAATGGAAGTAGATCGGACACACCTTGCAGAAATCTCCAAACTGCGTGACGAGGCAAGCCCTCATATGAAATCTTTAGGGCGAAAGGTGAGAAGGAAGACCAGGGAACACACTGCGCAGAGCACTGGAGAGAGACATCAATAGAACGAACATCACTTGGCAATAACTGGAAAGCCGAGCCCAAGACAGAATTGGTTAGAGAATCCTGGTCAGTGGCCTACGCTCTACAAGGAGTAACAGATGTAGGTAAGTAAATCATAACTAACCTGCAAAAGTTTTGCGTAACGGCGATAGTGTCAGTTAAGTTAAGGACGACATGCCACCAACCACCAGGAACAAAGACCGTTTCCCCAGGACACTGAAGTATTTCAAGAGGGGCATACTCTTTTGGCCAGTCGGATTCTTGTGTGCGTGGATATACATATACGAACCAAGAAATGGCTTCGTTTCGATTTTTGCCACCATCAGACGGTTTTGGTTTAACTAGTTCTTTTGGAGTTCGCGGCGGAAACAAGCACCATCTAAAAGGGGATTTCAACACTAATTTCAAAATAAGCTTTATAACGATCGTAATTGGTGTGAAATGACAATCAAATTTCTTTGAACTAATCTAAATGCGAGATCTCTGATGAATTTAAAATCTAACAGAAATGGTTATTTGTTCGATAAAATCTACACAAGACACTGTTATAATTTAAACATACATAAGCAAATTTACAAGTTAGTGCTATCAAACGTACAAAATACACGTAATAAGTACATGGTAGCAATTAGTACTGTAGCACGCCTATGTGATTTAACTTAACATTCGCGCAGATGGATTATTTTAATCTTTTCACTTACTGTCACCCATATATGCGTTCTTGTCAATTACTCACGTTTAACCTTAGTCATGGTGTTAGAGACCTGGGAACGTGACCGTAGAGCACAAAGGGCAACTGCTTGAGGTTAATCACGGTCTTTTTATGGGAAGATTGTATAGTGTTAGCTCTGCTCTTCAAATAGCCTTTCCACCGGAGACGGAAATCCGTGAGGTAAGGTGAGGTGTGACACTTTTAGAGTCGACCTTCTCTAACCCTTGTTTCCTTGTGAGAAGGCAACATCGCTGCAGATGTTGGTTATCCGAGGGAAACACCTTACTACTGTCATACCTCTCCACAGTCATGAGTCCGATTTCGCCCTCAGACCTTGAGTTGTTGCTTGTAGTCTTACAGTTCTCCAATCCACCTGCCTGGCACGGAACTCCAGCCAATATAGCTCGGTAGCGTCATCACAAAAGGTAAGCTCAACCACCACATTAACGTAACAGCTACGGTTGGGTTGCAATTATAATACTAAACGCCCTTTCATTTAATCGATAAATTAGTACTCCATCACATCATGGAGCTTTGAAATCTTCGTACCGATATAACTCAACAAACAGGAACAGTACTGTGTCGCTGACCTAGAGACATATTGTGTAAATGTTAGTGAGACTAGCTGGCTTCTCAGTCTTAAATAGATGTGATTCAATGGTCGTCAATCAGGTTCATAAACGAGTCATAATTCGAGCTTACAAATATTGGTTAGGTTGAAAAGGTCTTAATTAGCTTCATGGATCAATTACTGAATATTGAGGACAGAAAAATTAGGCAAATCCTGGATGAAGCCGTGGGTGAGCCAAGTGAGTCTAGAATTTTTGAAAGCTTCTATAATATAGTTGAAACTAGAGACATCCTGTTGACTTAACGGTAACTTTTGACTCCACTAGTTCAAATTTTGTTGTGGTAACTTTTACTAAAAGGTGTACATTGTACACATGAACCAAAATATATATATTGAAAGTACCAAAGATCTTCTCCGGACAGTGCTTATGTACTGTAAAACTACTAGATGATCATTGGTGTATAATGAAAGATAGATTAGATAAACAGGACAGACCGGCCGATAGATGGATATCACAGACAGAAGGGAGAAGTAATTAGTCTGCTGATTGAACTAGAAGTGAGTCAAAGATATCGAAGATTGATCATACTGAGAGATAACATTAGTTTATAAATTTTCTGATCCGACGCACTAAATAATTCGTGGGCTGCTCGGTTGGGCACATAAAGTCAGCTGACCTGGTACCTCACAATGAACAGAAATGGGTTTTTTTAGCTTGACTTTCTTACAAGCCTTGAATATTGTAATGTTTTACAGTTTCTTCTCCCAACTAACAGTCTTTCTTTGCCTTTTACACTATTACCAGTTCATTACTTACAAACGCTATCATGCCTATTGATACTCTGTTTGGAAATGAAGTACAGAGAAAGGGACCGGTAAGGTACACATATATGTAGATGTATGACCTCTTTTTGACCAAAAGCTAACAGAGAGGTCACATCCTTTCAACAAACATAGAAATATTTAAGTAATTGGAACATTCCCTCAAAGGGTAGTTATGGTTACTTCTCTTAAACTGAAGTAAACTAACGGAGTTAATTATGCGCTTAAAACAGTTTCAAGCAATGATGAGGACAGAAATCTGAATGCTTAAAAACGTAATTTAAATTGATTTGAAAAGCTTCTTAATATTATCTCATGATACTGTAAAGGATGATAATTTTCAGAATGTCTGGTTATCAATCCAACTTTCGGTTAAATACTCCGGTTCCACTGGTTTGGTATCAAAGTACTGTTATGCTACAGATTATTTGGGTAATTTAGTTGGTTAATTGAAACAAGAAGCTTGAGAGGAGTGCATAGTAACAGCAGAACAACGCACAGAAAATAAAACAAATATACTTGAGTAATTTACATGTATCAGACATAGTTTAAATGCTAACAGCAATGAAAAGGATGGTCAGTTTGACTTACACCTGTTCTCAATTAATAATTAGCTTGTGAGAGAACTGAAGCTTGTTATTTGATCTCACTTACTTATTCTTTACAGTTGATGAGAACATGTTTATAAAACTCTTGAAATATGCCCAAAATGTGTACTAAAGTAAAATAAATATTCTAGATCGAAAATATATCACTTAGAGAATTACCTTTTGTATCCTTTTACTAAAGCATTCCAAGCACTAGTTCCAAGAGGATCAATATGTATACCCGTGCCGGAACGTGGTGGACCCATTACAAACCATCTAAATGCAAAAGACGAAAATTGTTTCCAATAATGTCTGGGAAGAAAAAATTTCACTATCCAGTAACAGCTGTTACAGCTGCTACACACAGAGACAGACAGATACAACGTAGAACTTCGTACGTAAATACAGCAGTTCAGGTTGCCATACCGTATTAGCACAGAAACGCAACTGTCAATCAAATCACATAGTGATGGAGATAGTAGAAGTGTTATTGCTAATGGAGAAGATGAGGGTTCGAAGATATGATTTGAGAAGTATAATCTAATGTGAAAAATTTAGAAAGAGAAAGATAGAGATGATGAGAAATTCAGAAGGTTAGAATTTGAGAGAACACAAAGCGTGGATGCACCTGAACCATTGCAAACGATTTTGAGCCATGTCTTTCAAGGTCTCTAACCATTGGTGACTTACATCTCGCGGACCCCAACCAGGTAGCCTACATCTACCGACATAACTCAGTCGACTTGTCAGTGACTGGCCATGTTTCACAGCCGTAAAGTAGGACGGAGCAATAAACCCTTCCTTCAGTTAGCAAACAGATATCTCGACTAGGTCATAAGTGACCCAACTGGGCAAAAGCCAATCGACCCTTCTTTATCCGTGCTGAGATTTCGTCAGTCACCAAGCCATTAGCACTGATGAGACTCCCGAGATAAGTGAAGCGGATAACACACTCAACCGCTTCACTTCCTACTACTAGTTCAAGTGCTGATACAAGCCAATCTTAAACCAACATTTTGTATTTCGACAGGAAGAATCGCATCCTAAACATGCTTGCATTGTTGCTTGGGGTAGTAAGAAGACTGCATTTTGTAAGCGTCTTCGCCGAATAGAAGTATGTCATCGGCATACTCTAGGTCAATAAGCGATCCTCCTGGTAAAAGGTCCACCCCTGAAAAATCTGACGAGGATAATATTAACTCTAAAAGCATGTCTACGACAAAGTTAAACAAGAATGGAGAGTGGACAGCCCTGACGGACACCACTCAGTCAATCAATTAATAGCAACGTAGAACTTCGTCCGTAGGTACGTACATCAGTTCATGTTGCTGTACCACATTAGCACAGAGATGTAATTATCAATTCAAATCCAACAGTAGTAGTGGTATTAGCGGTAGTCGGAGAGGTTAGGATTAAAAGATATTATTCAAGAAGTAGAATCTAGTGAAATAGACTTAAAAAGATAAAGTGACGAACAATTAAAAAGGTTAGGATTTGTGAGAACACAAAGAATGAATGCACCTGTGTCATTGCAAATGGTTTTGAGCCATGACATTCAGGGTCTCTAACCGTCGATTACTAACATCTCGCGGACCCCAACCAGGTAGTTGACACCTACCGACATGACTCAGTCCACTTGTCAGTGACTTAATGTATTTCTGCCATGTTTTGGTCTGGCCGCCCCTAGCTTTCGTCCAACCTATTCCTACACCGCAAAACATAGCTCGATGAGGCAGTTGGTGGTTAGGTATACGCAACACATGTCCCAACCATCTCAACTGATGAAGTTTCAATATTTCATCTACTGAACTGCCGTCCCTACATAATACTCGTTTCCTAACGACAGCATTGCTTACTCGGTTGTCCCACGATACACGAACAATGCTTCGAAGACACCTATGATCGAAAACCAGTAACCTACGAATATCTTCTACTCTGACTAGGAAGTAGCGAACTACTGCACAGTACACTCGTCCTTTAGTCAGAAAACCTGCGCCATAAGTGACGCAGGTGGGCAAAAGCCAGTCGAGCCTCCTGTGTACGTGCTGTGGTCTCGTCAATCACCAGGCCATCAGCACTGATGAGACTCCCCAGATAAGTCAAGCGGTCTACACGTTCGACTACTTCACTCCCTATCACTAGTTCAGGTGCCGATGAAACCGTCTTGAAGCAACATTTTGCATTTCGGAGGGGGGGGAAACCGCATCCCGAACATGTTTGCATTGTTGCTAAAGGTGGTCAGAATACTCTTCCTTTTGTCAGCGTTTTCACCCAATAGAACTATGTCATCGGCATATTCTAAGTCAATAAGCGAGCCTCCTAGTAGAAGGTCTACTCCTGAAAATTCAGACGATGATATTGTCATATCTAGGAACATGTTTATGGTAAAATTAAACAAGAACGGAAAAAGTGGACATCCCTGACGGACACCATTTGCAGTAACTAATTCCGATGACAGTTCGCCATAAGCTCTCACCCGACCAGTAGTTTCAGAATAGAGAGCTTGTATAAAGTTACTGTGCTTCTTTGGAACACCTTTCAACGACAGACACTGCCACAGAACCTCACGATCCACAAAGTCAAATGCTGTCATAAGTTCCAGGAAGACAACTATTGTCGGACGCCTAAATGTATGTCTGTGTCCCAGGACCTGTCGTAGTGTGATGCGGTCTAAACAACCACATCCATATCGGAAACCAGCCTGGTTTTCTCTAGTCTGCTCTTCACTAGCTATAGTCAGGCGTCTAAGGATAATTGAGGCTAACAATTTAGATACTATATTAGTTAGACTTATTCCTCGGTGACTGTCACAAGACTTTTGTCCTTTCTTATAGATTGAGACAATCAGGGATTGAGACCATTGGGATGGGATTACGTCCAGTTACTAGATTTAGCTGCTAAAACTGGACCACCATCTTTAAAAGTCTCAGGAGTTAGCCTATCACGACCTGCTTCTCTACCTCGCTTTAGATTTCCTATAGCTTTCTCAATTTCATAAAGACTAGGAGGACTTAAGTCGATTTACCATTCAGGATGACTGGAGATCGTGGGTTGTTTAAATAAATGGTATAATGGAGCAGGTGTTAATTTCTTAAGTTACGACTAACTTCGTGTAGTTATGGTTACTCCGATTGTACAATTTAACTAAGAAACACAAAATTGAATTTGCACAGAATAAAATCCCATGTAAAACCTACCTATAGGGAGGTCGCGTTTTTTCTCCACCCAGAGAAAACAAATCTTCTTTGAAATACCGACATACTGCGTAATCGTCCAATAACTTTTTACGCCTTGAGTGCTGTTAAGAGTAAACTAAACTAATAAGTCGCACTTGCTTCTCCGTAGTTTGCATCAAATATATACAACGGACTATCATCTTCGTTTTCCTTCATATATTGGATAAAATACTTCATTTTTAATTTAACGGAACATCCTTTATCATCTTCACCACATTTGAACCTTTCGTTGTGATACTTTTTGCCCAAACGCTAGAATATACGCTAGAATATAAACTATTAACCAAATACCCTCAGTGTCCAATTTTCATCAGCTTTCCAATCTGTTTGGGCGTTCCGAATCACAACAGGTTGATAGGGACGTTCATATTGAGCCACAAATTCTTCACAGGAAACTTTGCAAGCATCAATACGCGGACAAGAATCATGGACACTGTTTAGAGACAAGTCGAAGTTGTCCGCATATTTACAAGAATACCAACTATGTGGGGAATCACCAAGTTCTGATCTTGCCCTTAATTTGGCTGATCGAACTCTACGCTCATACTTACTACGTTTTGATGTCATATCTTAGGTAAGAAAAGAAACATTTCGGAGAAAGTAATAAGCAAATGATACTAATTACTTGTGCTAGAATATTCAGAATAGTAGTCCGCTATTATGTCATTAGTCCTAATATATATAAAAATTTATATACACTCTAGCAAGAGCAAACCATTTAAGAAGTTATTCCGATAAAGCGGAAATGTACCATAACAATGTGTGGATTATTCATTCTCTTGCAAGATGTATGTGAGCTAAGCCGATTGGAACTGATAATTAAAACAACTCCAGTACCTGTAAATCTCCAGCCATTAAAATTGACAAGCTCGCTTTTCATACAAAAATGATAATGAGATACTGCAACTTATGAGCGACCTAGAGACCTACAAAAACGACCTTTTGGAATTTCAACCACATATCAGACAAAAAAAACTGTTAGGATCTAATGATTATTAAAAACTAACACCAGCTACATATGGGAACGCTCCTTAGTCATCTGCATCATAGTTAATGTTAAATCATAATAGAAACCCTAACCCTAAATCCTAATCCTAGCATCGTAAATCATTCATTTATATTTGTTGTTTTCTAGTTGTCTAGACAAATTGGGGACTTTCTACAGCTCTTATAATTCAGCTTTACTTTGAATAACTAAGTTAAAAGAGCCTTACCGCGATATGGATATCACTGATATCACAACTGTGGAGCATGAGCACATACAGGATTTTTAGGGACGCGCTTCACACGACCTTTCTAATATCCAATATCTTTCCACGAGCTAATATGAATCAAAGGGTTTATTTGCGCACGATTCTTGTTCTTACAGAACGGTTCCAGGCATTTGGTAGTATCCGATTGATAGTGGCCTAGCCATTCGACTGTACTAATTCCAATCAGTTGGCAGTTGTTTGTGAATTTATATGTACCGTGATTTGAATGAATGCGTTTGTTTCATTGCATTAGGGTTTCTGGATACCAGCGACTATCACGTTACCATGCGGGAGATCAGTTAGTTGCAGTGTTGAAAATAATAAACATAGAATGCCAATGCTGATAAGATTTCAGAACTAAGTAAATAAATGTACAAACAAGTTAATAAATAAGTGAGGATTGTACGAGATGATCGAAGTATGAGTAACGGAGGGGAAACAAAGATAATAAGTGGCAAGACTAAGTTATAGATCTGCGGAAACGACAGTGATAACAACAGGAGGTTTCAAGACATACATCAGGCACGGCTGGTCCAATAGGGTGATGATAATCCATATGTCAGTACGAGTTTGTCAAGCCGCTTCTTGAAGCTGTCCACTAAGACGGCTGTAATCCCCTCGGCTAAGAGGACATTACAAGTCGCAAAAACTCCTAATGAGAAGAAGTTTGCACTAACTGAGTGTTTGCGCAATCTTTCGAGGATTACCTCGAGAAGCGTGGTGTTGATGCTTCGGTAAACTGCTCATGTTCAGGAAATTTGGCTTGTTCATTATGTTGTATGTCGTTACCAGATCACCTCTGATTCTCCTGCAACTCAGAGAGGATAATCGCAAGTGCTAGAACCTATCTTCGTAATGTTTATTCTTCAACCCTATCACCGATTTCGTTGCTCGTTTCTGAGCTCGATCCAGGAGATTAATGTCTCCTATAAGGAGAGGGGGTGCGCCAACGTTATGAACCTCAAGGTGTGTGTGTGTGTATGTTTTGAACAGTGGTAATAATAATTCCGCTATCGTTGCACCAAGTATTCTTTGCATAAAGTGAAAGATTGCGTTAGCCTTGGCTACGATCCCTATATATTTTAAACTGGTGTCTAGACTTTCAGCTGGTATTAGTTCGAGATCACCCTCTGAGGAGACACTGAGCAGTGAACATCCATTGACGGTACAATTCATTTGTCTTCCCTGGTGCAGAATGTTGATAGCGTGACATTTCAACTGGTTTAGTTTTAAGCACTTTTTCACTGCCTATTCCTCAATCGATGTAAAGTGCTTTTCAAGCTCCAGAACTTTATATCTTCTGTGTAGATCAATGCTACCGAGCTCATTTTGCCTAGCACATCACTAATGAATATTAGGAAAAGGAGTGGACCTAAGATATCCACTGTAAAACTCCTGATGGTGAGAATCTTCAGCTCTAATGCACCCTATTCACCTTGGCAGAAAAATTACCTTTCTCAGTGTAGTTTCTGAACCAAGACAGAAGTGGATTTGTGAAGCCTATCTTCTCAAACTTCACAATTAGGAGTGCATGAGTTGCTCTGTCGAAATCTTTCGAGGAGTCAAGTAATATTATATGAACCGGTATTCGTCGGTTCCAACAGATTTCCAGCTGCCCCAGCCTTGGAGAAGATTGGATGTGCACGACCTTCATTTCCGGAACCCGTGTTGGGCTTTATGAAGGATTGTGTTCTTATCCATGTAGTGCCTCATTTCCTCATTCACCAGACCTTCCATTATCTTTGATAGTTTTGTAGTAGTGCGACTGGTTTGTAGTAAGCTGGATCTTTACTATCTCCTCTTCTGACGATTAAAGAGTAACCTGTTCCCATTGAGCTGTCAGTTCGCGTAACTCCACTGAATGCCTGAACAGGTCTTTTTTCGATTAACTGAGGGCTTCTGCACTGTTTCATGACTATAGGGAGAATATTGTCACACGCTAGTGACTTTCCTGAGAGCAAAGCTTTTAGTTTCCTTTATTGGCAAACTGAACTAAGATATAAGATTTCTAAGCTCATGTAAGAATCATGGCATGCATTGTTTACAGCTCTCACCACGATATTTATATGGCTTCCAGTGGTTCCAAACTTTTCCAAGTTATTTTGGCAAGAAAAAAATCTTTTTTGTCAAAAGTTATTGGCTTCCAGTATCTAAAACATTTATAATGACTCTGTATAAGCCAATTTATTATTCACGTTTGCTTCTTATCCAGGCTCCTTCTGTTCCATATCTTTGACAATAGTCTAGCATCGGTATTCTAACCACTCAACCACACTTGTTCTTTTGAAATTATTAGATATTTGTGAATTTGTGTATTATGTAATCTGAGCAGGCTTGTTTCAGGCCAGTAACATTCCTGAGACAACATGTGGTTATATTGTCAGGCAGGAGGTTGATCGGTTGGTTGCCAATTGAAAAAGCAATTATAAAACCCCGGATGCAGAAGAGATAACAGTAGACGTCTGTTTAAAGCAGTTAATTTAATAATTACACAAACAGAATTTATAGACGGCAGTGTAAGAATAATAGATAATCACAAACTATAAGGTACAAAATGATATTAAGCTGAATGAGTGTGACAACGACAATGGCACATAGACTACCGGACGCACAAACAGTCCTAGTTGATGATGATAATCCGTGGGTAAGTACGTGGGTGTCCAGTCTCTCCGTAAAGCTATCTATTGAGGGGACTTTGACCACGTTTGATGACCAAGCACTCCAAATGGATTTGACTGTTAATGGAGAAAAGTAGAATCGTAACTAGGTTCGACTCTTTGATGTGCAACTAACCAGAGGTTGCCTAGTGAGGTGCAGTAACGAAGTCCTGATGTGATGTGTTGGGTTAATAATAATAATAATAATAATAATAATAATAATAATGACAATTTATTCTCAAATAACAAACAAACATGTTACAAGAGACATGCCAATTTACAGGCAAGATCAAAATGTTAAGATTAGCAATATATTTCTTTTAAAACGGTGTACAGTTACTGAAATATTTCACGAGATTCACTGGATTCCTATAGATGGCGCGAGTTACGAAGTTTGCGTTTCGACTATCATCTTATTTTCTGCGAAACGATGCATGGTAGAGCCAGGTTTGCATATAACAAGAATTGATGCGGTAAATGTACAAAGGTCTGGTTGATATTCATCAGCTAATGATTTCGCAGGCTTATGGTTAGGGTAACCAAGTCTACGGCAAATATCCAGACTAATATATGAGGATTGGAATAAGGTGCTGAAAAAGATTAATAAAGAGAACGGGACGAGGAGCGGAACAGAAAATATTCTTGTTTTCGGATAAAACAAAGGTATGTTAACTCAGACTTCATTATATCAGAACACTAACTGTACACCTGCACCTATGTAGGTTAATGAAGACAGTTCAGTAGTGAGATAACTAATGAAAAAGTTAGTCGTATGATTAGAGGAAATTCTGAAGAACCAAGTTGTCAACAATAACGTTGATTTACAGAATATAATAATGAGGTACAGTAATATAAAGATTTTGTGGTATTTCATTTATTCTGTTTCTTTTTATCTCTGTAGATCAAGAAGTCATAAGTGAGCTCTTTTTTAGCATAGTTGTCCAGAACAGCTTGTAATGTGATTTCTCGGTAGGAAGTCAAAACCAGTGCAAGGTTACAGACATGAGTCGTAGACGAGGTTAACAAGGAAAAGTAACATCAATGTCACTGATTTGTTACATCCTGCTATATCGTAAGGAGCCGTAAGCAAACAAAATGTCCTGCCACACAGACATGGGTAGATTGAGGTTTTCGCCCCACCGACATGAATGCTGGTCAGATACACCACCCTACCTCCTTCTGTGATGTTAAGCTCTCTTACGTTTAATGGTTGATTGCAAATAATGGTTTCTAGTCTACTGTCTATTATTTTTGTACGCCTTATCGGAATGCACTTTCTCTACTAGCTCCATATTACAAGTAATCCAGACAACTTTGCCAGACAAAATATCCACGTAGCATATCACACTGATTTTAAGTAAACTTATCGTGTAAATTGTTGGATATGTGTCAGTTAATAGGTAGTTTGCAGATAGGAAGGACAGCGAGCTGGAAAGAGGAGAAAGAAAAAAAAGAGTTGAAGTAATGTTAAAAATTAATGAGTAAAGCGATAAGTCGGTAAGCAGGCAAGGTGTTTGGATGTTAATGAATTGGGGAAGTAAAAATTTATCAAACTGTTATTACCTAAACAAGAAGTAAGTCACAATGATACACGGGGTTTGAGTTCCTTGTAAATGACAGTAGCTGAACAGCATCTGCAGGCTTTTCAATTTGTCTGTCTACTAGAAATAAAAACTAAAACTGTTTTGAAGATATGAAAATAATGATTGGAATTTAAATCTAGAGAAAAGTCACGGGTAACACCTCAAAGGCGTAACCTATTACTGTTAGTAGGAGCAGATGGATTTGTCTATCATTTCGTGATAAATGTATGTGTGGTATATGTTCATAGTCTATAATTCGTTTCTGAGGTTTATCTAAATATTTGCTGTACCATAAGAGAGTGCCTCAAGACTTGGTGTAAGTTCTGGGAATAGCTGATAAATCTCTTTTGAGTCTAACAACAGTATTACTAGTTTCTTGAACCCGGCGATTGTGCCAAAGATACGGACACTAATTGGAAATCTGTTCCACAAAGAAATTACACCGCAGTGATTGTTTGTGTTTCGCCGTTAATAGTGTATATGCGTTGTTACGAAGTCTGTAAGCAGTGTCTTGGTTCACAATAGGGCTGTATTTTACGAACGAAAGACCATTCATCCGTTTATAAAGGAGCATTGAGTTGTCTTTGAGACGACGGCGCCATAGAGGTTCTAAGGAAAGATGTTTGCATCATTCTGTGTAGTCAAGGTTATGGCTCAATACGAGCAGTCGCCGTGTGAAGCTTCTTTGGACATTTTCTACTCATTTCTTGTCCATGATATTTATGCTTGAAAAGATGAGTGAACAATATTCAAGTGAGGGCCTTAAACACCCTCACGCACATATGAGCCTCAACTAATGGTAGGGACCTCGAGGAGTTAAGCAAATCTGAGTACATCCTTGATTGTGTAGCTGAGGAGGTTACGTAAGGAATAA